TTTCAGCCCATGAATAAGCAGGAGATCAGTTTTAGGGAGGGACTACTATTATCCTTGCTTCAAACCTAATTTATAAACTAAATTCTTCCCATGGTTAACTTGGCCTATGCTCATTCCTGGGCATTTTTATGTTTAACAAATTTGGGAGTTACTGGCAATTCACAGGAATTTGATTCCCCTCCAGGGATGATCTGCTTTGTAAAATGCAAAGGGAATGGAACAGTGGGAGAGGCTGGGGCCCTCAGACCACTGCCTTGCCATTCACTTCTGGCCTCTTCAGATGCTTGTCAAGCAAAATTTCTGGTTGAATCATATGGCTTTGATTGAGAAAAAGGAGGCTGGTATGTGGGAAAATAGCAAACTGTTTTATGATGGCATTGTTACAATATTGATCAAATACACCAAGTAACCTTTCCTTCCAAACTCTTCTCTTTGACCTCCACTTCACTCCCCGACCATACACACTAGCTGTTATGTTTCTCCATTTGGCATGACACAGGATAACTGGTCAGCTTTCCATATAAAGGCAAGACATTTTTTCCTTTTAGCTAACATTTCCCTTTAAGGAACAAAAAGAAAAAAACAATTGGGGTCCCATATTCCCATGGCTCCTATCCACTTTCCATCAGGCACCCATGCACCTGCTAAACAGAACTTGAGCAACACTTTCAGACCACCATTGTGTTCCAACTACCCCCCATCTGGATAGTTCTGTCTTGAGTTTCTCCCTGTTGCTTGGCTATCTTTGACATAGTGACCCATTTTACCTCTTTCTGGCCAGAAATGGCTGTTCCTCAGCGGGAATGAATCACTTTGTACCCATAATAATGCTGGCAATCCCCAAACAGCAGACACTTTCTACTTGTTCAAAGTCCCTGAACAGCCTTTGAAGGAAACTTAACAAATAGTTACCCCTGGGTTAACACCTGGTGTGAGGCTGTATAGCTTGAAATAGAACTTTACAAACCACTTCAAAGTCGCCAGAGTTACAGGTTTGGAACAGAAAGACCATTTCCCTCTAACCACTACAGCATGTTTCCTTCTAGCCAAGCAGTAAGCCCCAGTGTAGAATTCCAGAGTCTTCCTGATTTAGTGCACTGCCATTTTGTCATGGCTCATTTTGATCCCTTTCATTAGTCAGCCCAATGTTACCATATCTAATAAATCAGGTATAGACTGGTTGCCTCCTAAAAGAAAGAATTTGCCTTCATTTTCTGCACCACACACAAGCAAGCAGTAATTATACACTGCCTGGAAACCAGTAGCACAAACGCTGATAAGTAAATGTTCAGCTGAAGCCAAACTTCCCTATTATTCATGAAAGGAACTTGGATGCCCACTCTCAAGTGTCAATCATCTTGAATCACGCTGCTGTTGAATTTAGCTTTTTTTTTTTTAAACAAAGTAGCATCTCCCATTAAGCCAAATGATGCCTTTGGGCACATTTTTCCTTTAAAATGTTGTACTGTATTTGAATAGAAAATAACTGAAATGTGAAAAAATGTAAGTCTATTTGGATAGTTGGTTATATAGCCAGGGTTAAGTGTTTATATTTTAAGTTACTATTTTTAATTGAAAGTTTTCCGATAATTACAGCCTAAAGGAAACCACAGGAAAAATATTAACCAGAAATTTACTCAATATAATGGATAATTACCAAAGAATAAATAAATCATATTTAGGAATAGGAAAGAAAGAAGAGTGACCCTGTTAAAAGTTGTCAGCTTCAAAGAGGTGAATGAATGTCTTCTCCCAGCTCCCTTCCTCCACCCTCCTCATTTCTCCTTCCCATTTCAGCCAGGAGGTCAGTGACCTTCCACACTTTCCCTCTGTTTCTCTCTGTTGAAACTTGCCCACGGGAAAGATCCAAAAACTCATTTCCTTTATGACATAAATGATTGATAATGTACATGTACCATGTTTTCAGATTATTTATTTATTTTAACAGACTAGATAATGCTTTTGACTAAAGGTAGACGCTCTAACAGATGTCTTTAAAGCCAGAAAATGGGTAAAGACTAGTTTTTGTCAGTAAGGATGGTGGTACTGGGGCATCGTCTTCCAAACCTAAGTGAGATCGTAATAGAAGTTTTGAAGCTATTAATGAAATGTATCAATAAACATGAGATAAAACTACATGGTTTGACAGGTATATATACATTTCTTAAATGTTATATTCTAGGAATTTCAGTGGCTTCTCCAAATGGAGTCAGTCTGACATGTAAGGTTTGGGCATTTGGGAAAATGAGCAAGAATGAACATTGAGGAGATACACACACATAAACACTTTAAAAGAGTGTACTATAGTCTTACAGTAAGTCAGTAGGAGAGAAATAGGGCAGAGAAAGCATCTAAGGTCCTTGGAGGGCCTTGAAAAGGACCTGGGAACTATAGGACTACGGGACCCATGGCCATTGCTCTCAGGTGCTCCAGACATCTGGGGAGGAAGAAACCTGGAGAAAGGTTATAATATTAGGTAACTAGCAGGACATGGTGACCTTTTGTGAAGATAATTCCAAAAGCTATTGTTCTCATGTTAGAGACCAAATATGTCAAGTTTCTGAAGAATCAGCCCCTGCCTTCCTCTCATCTCCTTCCACTACCTCCCATCCCCACACCAGCACTTTGTGCTACAGCCAAAGACCTCTGTACTTGAATCACCCAATCTGAGACACTCTTACATTCCCCCCAGTCTTCTCTAGTTAACTCCTGCAAATCCTTCAGGTTTCAGTATGGTGGTTACACCCTCAGAGAAGCCACCAGGTCTCCTTGGACAAAAAAGGCTTCATTGCTCTCACAGATCCTGTACTTTGCTTGAAAACTACTGGTTCTGCTTTGTAATTATGTGTTGATATGACAGTTCATATATGTCTGTCTCCCCACTGCTCTGGACACACTGCAAAGATGGGATCATATCTTGGTGGTTTACCTTTGTATTCCCAGTGTGAAGCACAATGTGTGACACATAATATGTGCTCAATAAATGTTAATTAATTATTTGAATGGATGAATGAATGAATGGTACTTCTCATCAAGGCAGTTCAGGAAAATCAACAAGCTGTTTAGCCTTGAGCAAGTGGCTTAATCTCTCTAACCTTCTATGTCTAATACAGCATTAGTAATAGCACCTATTTCCAAGGTTGTCTTGAGAATTAAGTGAAATAATGCATGCAAATCACTGAGTACAAATCTAGTATATAAAACACAATAAGTGTTTACTATTATTACTGTTACTACCTACATCTTTGCACCAGCTTTCTCATCTATAAACTGATTGTCTTAAAGTTTCCTTCAGCTTTAAACAGGCTATGATGCCTACCTAATCCTAAAAGAAAAGTTCTTTGTTCTCTGGATTTGTCAATCTGGCAACTCTAACCATCAATATATTAACATTTTTTTTCCAGTTAAAAAAAATTATGCAGGAACCAGCAATGATTCATCAACTTGTAATAACATGCATGAATTTAAGACATGGCCATAATTATTTTATGAACTTGCATTTAATGTACCAAAGTCTTCACTGTTCTAAGATTCTGAGAAGTAGAAAGAGAGGATGATTTAGAATGATAAAGCTCCTTTTTCATCTACATACATAAAGAGGGGTGTTGGGGTGGGTTTTTTTTCCTTTTGATAATCTTACAATAGGGTATCCTTGAAAAGGAAAACCAAAAGTAAGATATTTGTATTATACAGCCAAAATATTCAAGAGACCTGTGTTCCACTCAGCATATTCGAACTCTATTCTATATCTTTCTGGATTCCAACCCACATGAAAGAAGCAATATTTATTACCTAGTAAATGCATAAACTATGTATGATGTTTTACTTCAAATACAAAATATTATCTTCTATGATCTTACAATGTACTGGAGAGCTTTATGTCCATTTTATGCAAGAGGAAGCTGAGGCTTCATGGAGGAATCCTGAAACTCACACAGCTATCCAGAGCTGAAAACAATGCCAAGCAGCCTCAAAGGTTTGGGCCTCATGATCAGACACCCCACTTTGCTTTGCTTACTTGCCAAGTCCTGTAAGCGTGAGCTATACTTCGTGTTTGTTTCCCATAAATACATCGTTATTGATAATGTCAATAAAGTACATTTCATCACCCACTTGGAATGGCTCCATCCTTGTCCTGGCAGTGTTTTGTCTTCCAGAAGAACAGAACAATACACCACAGTTTCCAAGTGCCTTTCATTTGCCACTGGGACCTTTGCTATTTGGATCATACTTCCGCCTTCTCAGACCTTAACAAATAAAATATCTTGGTACAACCAATTATCTCTGTAATAGAGGGAATTGCAATGGTAAGCACCTTGTACCCAAATTTCTGTGAGTGTTCACTGCTTTATTTTAGGTTGACCTATACTGTATAAAAATGTTTCAATGACATCTGAAGTTAGAGGACAAAAAAGTTATCAAGAAAAAAAATTATTAAACCCAATAACCAGTGTTTGCATAAAGTAAAAAGTTTATATAGGCCAGGCGCAGTGGCTCACACCTGTAATCCCAGCTCTTTGGGAGCCCGAGTAGGCGGATCACAAGATCAGGAATTCGAGAACAGCCTGACCAACATGGTGAAACCCCATCTCTACTAAAAACACAAAAATTAGCTGGACATGGTGGTGCGCGCCTGTAATCCCAGCTACTCAGGAGGCTGAGGCAGGAGAATTGCTTGAACCCAGGAGGCGGAGCTTACAGTGAGCTGATATCACACTATTGCACTCCAGGCTGGGAGACAGAGTTTATATATTAAAAAAGTTTATATAAAGTATAGTTTACCAAGCATCAATACTATAGAGTTACTGGACTTTCAGCAACCCAGTAAGGTAGCTAGGGCAGGTCTTATTATTCCCATTTTAGAGATGAGGAAAATGAGGTCCATTCTGATATTTTACTTAAAATCCTATCCTAGAGTTACAACCCCTCAAATTTCTTGAGTACCTTATTTATTACTGTTATTGTTACTCTTACCATTCGAAACCAGAGGGACAGCCACCTAAATTTTCATTCGCATGAGCAATCAAAGAAAATTAGAATTGAAATCACCTGCCAACATTTACTTAAAATAAACTTACTTATTATTTTCCAGACATACTTTGAACGAGTTATTTTAAACACAATTGTACATAAGTAAAAATCCACAGGAACAATGAACACTCCATAGGCTTCTGACTGAGAAAGTGACTAGGGAACAGACCTTGTTATGGTGTCAGAATAAAACAATGCCTGGGAAGGCTCCATTACTGTTCCACAAACAAAACTAAGGAAATGGGAGAAGAAAGAAGAAAAAGTAAAGTATATTTCTGTGCTGCAGGCTAGCACTCTAGCAGGAAATTCTGAGTGAGAGCTCTCACCAGTGCCCTAGCCCTTGACCCTGAGGTCGTGGGGCTTTTTCATGACTATTTCCAGCCAGGCGTTTGTTGGCCACATCCACAGACTCCAGAGGCTCAAAGGGTGTGGGCCTCACTAGCCTCTCCCATGTCCCACAAAACCTGGCCACTCTGTCTGCAGGGCAGCCTCCCTTCTTTGTTTTAAGCCTATGGATGGCAGGTTTAAAGCAGGAAGAGCTGCCACTCTCCCTTCACATTTTATGTCACCTCTACGCAAGTCATTCACTGATTCCTGCCTTAGTAGGTAGGAATGAGTGTTTGTTGCCTGTTGAATAAGAATGGGTAGCTTAAAGAAACATATGATGTGCTTGACACACGCAGCAAATGTTCCCAGACTTTATTACCTAAGAATCACTTGGGATGCTCATTTACAATGCAGATTTCTGGGTTTTATCTCTGGGTATCTATCTGATAGGTTTGGGATGGGGTTCTAGACCAGGATTTTCATCACACAGCCCGGGTGATTTTATGTGGGGAAGCCAGGCTCACACTTTCAAAAATACCATAGTGATTGTGCAATGATTAAAAGAATAAATGGATGATAATATTATGAATGTCAATAGTTGTTTCCCAAATTTGCCTTACCAAAAGAATCACTGGGACTGCTATCGAATATACTGATTCAGAGGCCTACCCCAGGCAGACCTACTAATCATAATCTCTAGAGAAGGTGCCCAGGAATCTAAATTATTAAAGAACTGCCGCCAAATGAGTGTTCTGATGAGGCCCATTAGGGAAATACCACTATAGGCTGTGGTCTCTGCAGTTCTCACAGCATTCATTTTTTGTTCTTCAAAGCAGTAACTTGGTGTGACCACATTTGAGCAGGTACCCAAAGCTCCTACTGTCTCAGTACAACTGCTCCTTCCGTGTAGTACCATTTTAGAGAAAACTGGACATCTCAGTCAGACCCCAAATGATACTTTTGATACATAACCTGTAATTAAGGATCCAAATGAGTTTTAATAAAATCAGATGTCAAAATATTCAATAATTGATGCGGCAAGAGCACCAACCAAGATGGATAAACAGTATGTTGTAAATGACCCGCATTTACTTTCTATTATCAGCTCCTAGTATATTTTCAATGACAGGTTTTCAATTGTGTCGACCTCCTAGAGCTTGGGAATACTGATTTATTTTCAAGACCCCCTTCTACTTTATCCCTCCCATCCCTATTATAAGAGCTCGAGACTGGTAAATATCTTCAAAGTAATGCTTGGTAATTGTGCCTGGGTCTGGTTAATATATTTTTCCCTGTTTAATTTGTTGCATGCTCCATGCCCTGACATCTTATTCCTTACCAGACCAGAAGTTTTCAAATGCACAAGCCTATTGTGCCTGGGGAAAAATGTTGAACTTTTGCCTTTGTAATAAGATATGCTCCAATTACCAACTTTAGCAATTTAATATAGTTGAATAATAACTGAATGGGACACTTTGTCACTCAGTCATTATTCAAGCTTCTACTAGGGGTGGAATGAGCAGTTGCTGGAGGTCAGTCTATTCCTCAGGGAGCTCAGCCTCACAGATCAACACTGAGAATTTTTTAAAAAGGGATGTTATAAAAAATAAAAATTCTAGGAAGTATATGTCAAACTTACAACTGTAAGATGCTGTAAGAGCTTGGGTTCCATTTTTAAGAACCCAAAAAAGCCCAGTGTTTAAGTAAAGATAATTTTACATGTGGAACACATGGTGGAGAGAGAAAGCAATCACCTGGATAATTCAGTCTAAGAAGCACTTTGTGGGTGGAGATGATGCAGATAGATGAGGTCATTTTCACCTGGGCCAGAGGTAGTCGACATTTCCCCTCCCCCTACATTGCACATAACCTCGCATTCAGAAGGTATTCCAGTACCTACGGCCAGCTTTAAGCACCTACGTCTTGCTTTGATGTGCACAGGACACTTCTACTGAGAATTGTATGGTCTCTTGTTTATAGACAAAGTTTGAAGAAGCCAAGGGTGTTTTAGTCTAAGGTTTGCTTGTGTGTTTTTTCAGATGTACTATAGGGCAATATTTTTCCATTCTGGGACTGAGATTTATTTGCCCATTAAGAGACCATTACATGCAGACTTTTAATTTATGTAATTAGTATATATGTGTCCTAAAGTCTCAGGAAAGTTAAGCAAGAGAAAGCCCAGGGGGCCTGGCAGCCTTCAGGAACTAAAATGTAGTCACTCAGGAAGGCTGCCTCTCCCTCTACAATGACACTTTGGACATGGCTAAGCCACAGAGTCTGGGGCCTGTGAAGGCCACCTCAGTGTCAGAACAGAAGGCAACTCTCAAGAAAGATGCGGCACTTTTCCAGGACATCCAAGCCCTGACTCTTGCAATCCAACATCCTCGTTTTACTCTCTGTGTGGACATTACTACCAAAGAGGTCACAGAAGCTTCCTGACCTCATATCTCTACAGCAAAGGAAGGATCTCACCTGCTACCTAGACCAGAAACGTCCTTCCCAGGGATGCTTAGGAGACTCAGAAGAGTTGCAGAATAAATTCTGGAAAGAGTTCTGAAAGATGTGGAGGGTTCCCGAGAGACACGCACCCTTCAACATAGGGCTGAAGATCTCATGGTAGGCCTCCCCATCATTCACCTGCTCTCCTCCCACTAGCCTAATACATGCCATCCCTAGGGCTCTGTAAGCCACAAACCAGGTTGAGGGACCAACCACAGGGCAAGAGAAGCATCAGATCTGGGGCTAATAAATTGATTTAGGGATGTCAAAGGGTTTCTACAATTGTTGATATACTCAAGGACAGTGATACCTATTATTAGTTCTGTTTCTTTCTCCTCCTCCTCTTCTTCTCCTTCTCCTCCTCCTTTTCTTTCTCCTCCTTCTCCTTCTCCTTCCCCTTCTTTATCTCCTCCTCTTCCTCCTCTTTATCCTCCTCCTTTTTATTCTTCTTCATGTCATCCCTGCACAGGGCCCACGCTAATCTTCTCAGTATTGTAGTTTTACTGTATGTGCTTCTGAAGCAAATACTCCTTATTGATGGATATTTTCATCACTTTTGGGGCATTGTGGGTACAAGTGCTTGTAAACAGGCAAGTGTTCAGTACAGTAGATACATTTCTTAGAGAGTGATGCCAGTTCAGTGATGTGTTTCCTAAAAGTCACCAGAGATCTCTCTCTCACATGGATACAGATATAAATTGAAGAACACTTTTCCTAAATCACTGATTTTCTCATATCGACATTCTTAGATATTACGTGATAGAGACCTTTCTCCAAGCCTATGAATGAACAGAAATCTGGATTTTCCTGAGAGTTCAGCTCAGGAGACAGCACTGCTTACCCAGACTCAGTGGCCGGGATCCAAAGAATACTCAGCTTTTGTTCCAGTGGAACCTGTAACCCCCTTTCCATGCCCTGGCCCAGCACACACCAGGTCTAAGAGAAGAGGTAGATTGATTTTCTTAAAGTGGAGCTGCTGAGAGACTCTAAGCCATGCTTCAGCAAATGGAACCCTCTGTCAGCCTGATGGCCATACCCACCTCAACAATCAGCGCCAGCCCGAGTGCCCCCTCTGGCCCATCCCATTTTGCTTTTCGTAGGGCCACTCTTAGACTTTGCTTCTGATTTTATGTACCGAACCAAGCCTTTGTCTAGCCCACCATAGCTGATTATTCAGGCTGAGCATATATCCATAGTCCTGGCCCAACCCAGGACTATGCCCATTACGAAGGCCTAACCCCATCCTAGGCCCTTGTGCTGGCTCATGGCCTCCAGCGTCTGTTGCACAATTTGGGCACCACAGGGAGCACATGACTGGCATCCACAAAGACAAAGATGGAAAATATGAGCTATCCATTTGGCAACAATGTTGGCATCTTCCTCGATTCGTGCTGCCAAGCTCTGACCAGAAAGATCTTGGCCTGTTTACTGCCCGATGCAGTCAGTCCAGACTCAGGGTGGCTCAGGTCATGGTGGTAGAGCCAGCTATCATGAGATTTATACATGCAAGAAAAAGACAGAGAAAGGGATCCAGACTCCATATCAGACACAAGCTAAAGGAAATGCTAGGAAAGCTCCATGAAACCAAAGAGGGAAGGTTTTTAAAATTTAGAAATTGGCTGGAAATAAACTTTATATTCTGCTTTTCCTTTTTATTTGGTTTTCATAGGAGAAGCTGTGTTTGCTGTCCACATAAAGTGTATACAATCTTTTTCCCAGAATAAGGGGAGCAGGAAAATAGGAAAAGAATATCAAGTAACTGGAGAATAGTATGTATTATAATGGTGGAACAGCTGTTTCATTTGCTGCCTATAAGTATTATTAATAATTTTGTGGCCCAAATAATTTCAAAAGCACTTTAAAGAGAAGTCAGAAAGAAAAGCACTAGTGCATACATTGATCTCATCTTATCTTCCCCACAAATCTTTCAAGTTAAATGTTATTTCTCCCACCTTGCAAATGAGAAAACTGAGGCAGCCTCAAAAAAGCTAAAGGATTGCTCAAGATCACAAAACTAAAAAGAGACTGAGTTAGGGGAGGATTCCTCCTGTCCACCAGACACCAAATCTCACAACTGTCAAGGATTGTCACTAATTTAGACAACTGTCTTCTCCCTGAAGTGTATACTAAAAGAAGTTTACCAGCATTCCAAGACAATGTCATCAGGGCGACAGCATGGTCAAGTTACTATTGAAGGAGTCCTTCCAGTCATTTCCCAAAACTAAGAGTTGAAAGGTGAGTTTTGTAATTGGTTCGCTTTGAATAGATTATTTATTTTAAGCTGCCTGGTCTGCTGATGCAATAAGCGGGGGAACAAGCTTGGTTTGAAGATAGATTTCTGATCTTCTGGGAAGTGTTTCTACTTTAATAAGCTTTGATTCCCCAAGGAAATTCCTAAAGGCATTCAGTCACGACCCACTGCGCTGCCAGGTCTCTGTAAATACAGGCATGCGTGTGTGCACACACACATACAGGAATAGATAATTTGGTAGTCACGACAGTGAGTGCTGCTGACAGTCAGCAGGAGGAGACTATTGGGAGGAAGATTTTTCTTCTTACAACTTGAATCCAGTGGTTGGGGGTTTACAGATTAAGTGATGATAGATTAAGGAGGAGAAAAAATGGCTGGCACGGTGGTTCACACCTATAATCCCAGCACTTCAGGAGGGTGAGGCAGATGGATCACCTGAGGTCAGGAGTTCGAGAGCAACCTGGCCAACACAGTGAAACCCCATCGCTACTAAAAATACAAAAAATTAGCCGGGAGTGTTGCCTCACACCTGTAATCCTAGCTACTCAAGAGGCTGAGGCAGGAGAATAGCTTGAACCCGGAGGCAGAAGTTGCAGTGAGCCAAGATTGTGCCACTGCATTCCAGCTTGGGTGACAAAAGCGAGACCCTGAAAAAAAAAGAGGAAAAAAGACCTGATTTATTTATGGTTACAGGCAGGAATACTCAGTGATAAGTAACTCATCTATCAGCCAGAGGAAAAAAGGTTATATACCAAATTTAACCAAGAAGTAGGGGGAGTGGTTAGGGAAAGTATGGAAGGTTCTGCTGGACTTTTTGATACTAGTGGAAATGGACAGTCTATCTCCACGGCAGTTGAATTTGTAGGAAACTTCCTAGGAGGAGGGTTAGTGGCAGCTGTATTTTCTGGAGGCTCTAACTTAATCAGATAAGAGAATTTCAGATAAGATTTATTTCCGAATCTTCTTTAGCTCCAACATTTTCATTTAAAAGGTCCCTTTATATCACATCTAGGGGTCCAAGTGGACACCCACATGTCCTTCATCTGAAACTATTCTGGACATTTCACCAAAAAAAAGAAAAAAAAAGCTAGTTTTATTGCTGTGGAGAGTGATTTATGTTCGAAATAGTGAGGTAAGAAATCTGCAAAGGGACAGAAAGAACAAAGATTAAAGGTTGGAACTGAATGGAATCAATTTGTGAGCATAGAAGGCAGCTAGTCCAGTCCAGTCCAGGTTTCTAGATGTTGAGTCTGAAGCCTCTTTAGTGAAGGTGGTAGTGAGAACGTCACAATAATAGTTGTTTGCTGGAGCAGGGCATGGAAGATGCACACGCTCTGGTAAACTTTCTGGGTGCCCCACACTGTTGTGGTGGTGATCCGTCTTTCGAAGTTATATCAAGTGGTCCAGCTTCAGCACCCAGAGCTTCAGGAAACAGGCAGTGCTAAGTTCTCAGTGATAACAAGTCAGGAGAATGGGGGGAAAAGGAAAGTATTAATAATTGACAAAATGTGCAAGATGGCAGAATCCAGTTTACAAGAGATGAAAAATAGCTCAAAGACAATGAACAGAACTAGAATCTGATAACCCACAAGGGGCTATAATTTTCCACTGAAACATAAAATTTCTCTCCACAGTCACCTCCATTTTTATCAAAGATAAAGTAAGATTTTTCTTATTTACAAAATAAGCCTAGCCTCATTAAATATGTCCCGATTATTTAATAAATGAAGCAAGAATGGTAATTGACCTCACGGGCCTTTTAAAGTTTGCTTTGCTGGAACTTTTATGAGGAATCTCAGATTGGACTTTTAAAAGCCTTTATTGGCCAGGAAGCTGAGCCCAGAACTTGTCATTAGAACTTTATCTGCAGTACCTATAGATCAGGGTGAATTCCTCTTCTCTTGAGGTGTCTAAAACATTCTGAAGCTCCCGAGCCTGCTAGGAAGTGACCTTCATTACTCATCTGTGAGGCTGGAGACAGTGTAAGCCAGTAGAAGGCCAGTTCTGCTAAGAGGGCTTTGTGAACACTGGCTCTATAAAGCCAACCTTAGCTCCTTAAAACTGCCTGGTCATGGCTGGGCACGGTGGGTCAAGCCTGTAATCCCAGCACTTTGGGAGGCCGAGGCAGGCGGATCAAGAGGTCAAGAAATCGAGACCATCCTGACCAACATGGTGAAACCCCATCTCTACTAAAAATACAAAAATTAGCTGGGTGTGGTGGCATGTGCCTGTAGTCCCAGCTACTCGGGAGGCTGAGGCAGGAGAATTGCTTGAACCTGGAAGGCAGAGGTTGCAGTGAGCCGAGATTGTGTCACTGCACCCCAGCCTGGCGCCTGGTGACAGAGTGAGACTGTGTTTCACAAAAAAAAGCCTGGTCATGTCTGTTTCTATGCATATCATTCTCAAATGTGACATTTCAGTTAAAGCCTTGGTGATATAACTAATTTCCTCAATTATGTCCTGTTACAAGGAGAATAGATACTTATGGAACTTATGCAAAAAACTGTATTGTCATAAAAAAAGAAAATTCAGTATGAGTTTCTGAATTCTGTAGGGATTTGATAAGGAGAAAAAGATAAATGTGTCATTCTTGTTTATAAGATATAATCTACTAAATTGTCGTTAATTATAAATAGGTTAAGAGAAAAGACAAAAGGATTCCTTATATCCAGAAAATGGAATACTAAAGAACCAGCAATGTTCCAAACAAAAATAAAACCCATAAAAATTATAATCAATTTTCATCAGTTCATTCAGTCCTAGGTAATTTATTTTTGTTCTGCTCAATCTTGAGTTAGCAGTTTTATGAACCCATCAGCCTCTCCACTAGAATTCTGGAAATGCTTACTCAGTCCAGTGGTATGATCTTAAAGTCATTCAGGCAGAGCCATCAGAAGCCTTTACCTTGGATAACCAGTCATTTTTATGGGTCTCTGAAATGCTGAGATAATCCTTTGCTTCATCATCTTTTGCTGAAGATGATGCACTCTGTCTTATAGCTGATTGTAAGAGCTTTCAGGAAAGCATCAGAATAAAACAATAACTCCCTGGGAATGAAAAAAGACTTAAAATGGCACCCAGCAATCCCATTACTGGGTATATATCCAAAGGATTATAAGTCGTTCTATTATAAAGACACATGCACACATATGTTCATTGCAGCACTGTTTATAATAGCAAAGACTTGGAACCAACCCAAATGCCCATCGATGACAGACTGAACAGGGAAATGTGGCACATATACACCATGGAATACTATGTAGCCATAAAAAATGACGAGTTCATGTCCTTCGTAGGGACATGGATGAACCTGGACACCATCATTCTCAGCAAACTGACACAAGAACAGAAAATCAAACACTGCGTGTTCTCACTCATAGGTGGGGGTTGAACAATGAGAACACATAGACACAGGGAGGGGAACATCACACACTGGGATCTGTTGGAGGGGACTATGGGAGGGATAGTGGTGGGTAGGGAGTTGGGGAGGGATAACATGAGAAGAAATGCCAGATATAGGTGATGGGGATGATGGCAGCAAACCGCATTGCCATGTATGTACCTATGCAACAATCCTGCATGTTCTTCACATGTACCCCAGAACTGAAAGTGCAATAAAATATATATAATTTTACAAAAAGGGAAAAGAAAAAGAAAAAAGACTTAAAATGGCAATGGCTAAAACTTGGATGAGAATTTATTATAAAAATAATGCAATTAACAAGGAAATTTCATTGTTTTGATGACATAAAACATTTATGATAACTAGAATTATGACTCCTAACATTGTATTAGGACCTATGGACAATGAGGGTTTTAACTCGTATACTTTCTGAAGTACTTATGTTCATAGCATTTACGCATACAAATCTAATATAGGGAGCTTCAGTATACCTTCTCATTTGATAATTCTTCCCTTTCCTAATGTCCTGACTTCTTTAAAGTATCAGCAAGCATCTTGAGATAAACAGGAGAGGCTTTGGATTCATAAGAAATATAGGTGGGCTTTGGATTATCTTTAGAGCCCTGTTACCATCTTTGTAAAGACTTGATTCGTACGATGAGGATAGTATTTGCAATTCTTCAAAGAATTAAGGGTGAACATCTTAGTCTATTCTGTGTTGCTATAACAGAATATTCAAGACTGTAACTGTCCAGTGGGTTCTTCTTGCCTGGTGCTCAGATAGAGCTGATTTATCAAAACAGGGGAATTACAAAGGAAAAAGAGTTTAATGCACACAGAGCCAACTAAATGGGAAACCTGAGTTTTATTACCCAGATCAATCTCCCCAAAAATTCAGAGACTAGGGTTTTTTTTTTTGTTTTTTTGTTTTTTTTGAGATGGAGTTTCGCTCTTGTTACCCAGGCTGGAGTGCAATGGTGCGATCTCGGCTCACGGCAACTTCTGCCTCCTGGGTTCAGGCAATTCTCCTGCCTCAGCCTCCTGAGTAGCTGGGATTACAGGCACGCACCACCATGCCCAGCTAATTTTTTATATTTTTAGTAGAGACGGGGTTTCACCATGTTGACCAGGATGGTCTCGATCTCTTGACCTCATGATCCACCTGCCTTTTTTTAAGGATAATTTGACGAGTTAGGGACTAGTGAGTGGGGAGTGCTGATTGGTTGGTCAGATATGAAATCACAGGAGGATCCAAGTGGGTTCTTCTTGCTGTCTTCTGTTTCTGGGTGGGATCACAAAACTGGTTGAGCCAGATTACCAGTCTGGGTGGCACCAGCTGGTCCATCAGAATGCAGGGTCTGAAAGATATCTGGAATACTAATCTTAAGTTTTACAATAAGAGCATAAGAGCAATTGGGGAGGTTAGGAATCTTGGCTGCATCCTATCCTGAACCATAATTTAGAATCTCATGGCTAATTTGTTAGTTTTAAGAAGGTTATCTCCTTCCTAGGCAAGAAGATTTGTTTCAGGAAAGAGCTGTTATCATCTTTGTTTCAAAGTTAACCTACAAACTAAATTCATCCTATAGTTAGCTTGGTCTATGTCCAGGAATGAACAAGGGTAGTTTGGAAGTTAAAGGCAAAATAGAATCAGTTAGGTCAGACCTCTTTCACCATCACAATTTTCTCACTGTTATAATTTTACAAAGGTGGTTTTATGACTGAGTAATTAATAATGAACAGAAAGGTACTGTCACACAGTTCTGAAGGCTGGGAAGTCCAACGTCAAGCTGCTGGCATCTGACAATGACCTTCTTGCTGCATTGTCCCATGGTGGAAGGTAGGAAAGTAAGAGAGAGGACAAGAGGGAGTCATACTCATGCTTTTATAAGGGAACCAATACCACCCATAAGGGCCTAATCATCTCTTAAAGGTCCTAACTCTTAATACTGTTACAATGGCAGTTACATTTCAACATGAGTTGTGGAAGGAACAAACATTCATACAATAGCAGAGCAGATCACCTCAAGAATAGCATTAAGAAACTGGCCTGCCTATCCAACTATAGTATTTTTAATTTGTTTCTTTATATTGGAGATAAGATTTCCAGCTAAGGTGGAAACCAAGACATTTTCAATGATCCAGAACTCTGGATTTAGAGCTCTGTGTCTTCGGAATGTTTTTATAAGTCATTCAACAAAGACTTCAGGATGTATGCCTTTCCTCTGAGTACATTGCTCCACTTTAGCCCAGTTAACCTTCAGAGCGGGAGGGAAGACGATTCCCAACGGGCCCTAAATATTAGCCTCCGATTGGGCCATTTGCAGGAGGAAGGTGATGGTGCAGGGGAGGGGGAGAGTTTATGCTGAGTGTAAATTTCAATTTTTGTTCTAGATCTGATTTCTGTTCTTTAGTTTTGCTGAGGGAGTCTTTTAGGCTAGCTGTGAAACTTTTATTTTTAATGTCCTTTCATACTGATCCTCCCATACTGGTAATAGGACATTTGTGTAGGATGAGAGCTTTCTGAAAATCCTCTCAAATATAAAAGTTGTTTCAAATCAAAGGATCTGCTGTCTGGCCATTGATGATTTAGCATCTCCAAAGGTATACTTTTTCCAAAATGTGACTCAGAATGAATAAACCTATTTTATGTCTTAATCATGGACACAAGAAAAACCCCCATAGAGGGTACAGATGCTGCTCCCATGATCCCAAAATCATTTCCAAAGACAGCCAAAGAGAACGAAAGCAAAGATCACCATTTCTATAGGCAGTAAAAATGGTATTTGTGAAAACTCCTGCCTCCAGTTGGCCATAACATGGAAACTACGAATCCATGATACTGAAATGGGACTTCTCTCCACCAGCAAGACAACAGGAAAGAGAAAATAAGGGATTTTATGGGCTGAGACCCTTTATTTACACTTAGACAAACCCCTCAGAATTGGAACGGTCAGCACGATTCCAGATGAAAATGGGATGCCCAGGATACCCAAATTTCTCTCCAGCCAACCACAAATCCTTGAGCCCCAGCCTGACAATTGGCTGCTGCTGTGCACAGGCCGGACAATCTGCACCTCACAGCATGTGGAAAGCCAGAGAGTGAACTCTCTGACTCAATTCAAGCCAAACTATCAGGACAGAAAATGAGACAGAAAGGACACAATAGCTGTCCCTGTGAAGGAAAAGATCTATTTTTAAAAGTATTCAAACCAAGTCACAATACAGTAAAAATAAGTTCCTAGTGTTTTCTCCTGCTGATCTAAATTTTGGAAAGAAAAGACAGAAAGGTGCTCTTATCACCCTCACTAGACTGGATTCTGAACAGAGATCTTGTAATCTGGCTGCTAAGAAATTTATGTTTGTCAGCATATTCAGAGATCCTGAAATCTTAGCGGCAGTTTCTGAAGGAGCAGAGAGTTCCAACCATCCCATCCTGGTCACCAAAACTGTTGGGAGAAACCTCATCCAATTTAGTTCCAGTGGTTGGAGGCCCATAAATTAACTCACAATAGACAGATTAACAGGAGAAAAGACAGGTGATTTACACATACACAGGAGTTCTCAGAGATAAGAACTCACTCAATAGCCTGAAATTAAAGGATTCATATACCAAACTTAACAAAGAGGAGAGGGTTTAGGGCTTCAGTGAGAAGGTATGGAAGATTCTGTTGAGGTTTTTGATGCTAATGCCAATGGGCATTCTGTCTCTCCGGTGAGTGAATTCCAGAAACTCCCTCAGATGGGGGTTAATGGCAGCTCTATTTTCTGGAGGCCTTGCTTTAGTCAGGTAAGTGAAGTTGAGATAAGATTTCTTTCTGTATCTTCTTTAGCTCAAATGTTCTCACTTTAAAAATCTTTATGCCAATTCTGGGATCGGAATGAATCCCCACAGGACTCAAGACATAAACTTTTAAAAAGGAAAACTTCCTAACTCCTTTCTAGGGCAAATTTTGAGATAGACAATATTTCTGTGACATGCTTGAGAGCTTCAGGAAGGCTCAGTGAAGTTCCTGGTGACAGAGACATCACTGCCTAATACAAAGGCACTGTGGGGTTATGGATAAGGTCTCTGCCCAGGATGACATCATCTCGGGCCTCGTTCCAGCACTGTAAGCTGTGACTTCTGTGCCCAGAGTGAGGACTGCTGTTTAACTTCGTTAAGTTCTCAAGATACAGAGCCTGCTACTTACCTTCGGAAAATCGTGGCACAATATTTCAGGAGTGAAGTAATATCAGGTTTCTTTTTCTTTTTACTTTTGCCTTTTATTCATCACAAACAGGAAAAAAAGTGGACCATTTATATTTTTGGGTCACAAATTGATCTTTTAACTCCAAACACTGACTTCCAGGGAAATTCTGTTACCAGTGGAAATATCTAGAAGAAAAGGTGAAAGTCAAAGTGCTAATTTCAAGTGACAGTATTTTTAAATCTATATTACTTTATAAGTAATATGAATTAGTCCTATTTGTCTATAAGGAAAACATGCTTCTTGTTCAGTAAAGTCATCTTCACAACTTCAGGAACTCTGTCATTATTAAGATAGTTAAGAGCATCTTCTAAAAAAATTGTGGACTCAGGTTCATCATTTCAGACAGCTGATACACAACACAAAATGTAGAAATCAAAGATAACTTGGCCTGGTGCTGTGGCTGACACCGGCAATCCAAGCTACTCGGGAGGCTGAGCTGGGAGTATCACCTGACTCCTGGGAGGTCAAGGCTGCAGTGAGCCATGATTGTGCCACTGCATTCCAGCCTGGGCAATGGAGCAAGACCCTGTCTAAAAAAAGAAAATAACTGTGCCACCAAGTGATCTTGTCTTAGGAGACAGAAAACCCCATAAGAAGAAGGGTAGGTAAATGTCTGCAGTCTAGCCTCTGAGAATGAAATTTCTCAAGGATGGGCTTCATGGATTTGGGGCTCATGAACCTGCAAGAATGCTGGTAATCAAGAGAGTTAAGAACATAACCAGAAGAGTTCAGAGTTGGGGAAGCTTCTTCATAGCACTAACTGAGAAACTGCTAATTAGTGGCTCTCCAAAATGTTATTAAAATAATCTGTTGATACTGGATAGTCTTTATTGGGAGAGGAAGCTGTCCTGTACATTATTGGATGTTTAGCAGCATTCCTGACTTCCACCCTCTAGATGCCAGCAACAACCCCAGTCATGACAACCAGAAATGTTGCCAAACGTAGCCAAATATCCCCTAAGAGGCAAAATCATCCCCTGATGCCTTAAAGATAATGGAGGACACTATTGACAGAGTCTCAGTAGAGTCTCAAGGTAGGGGTAGGGGATGGAGCGAAGTTGGGAATATTTTTGAGACTGTGAAGGCTGTTTGTTTTTTTTCCAATGTGTATCTTTCAGTGTGGGTGCCAGGAAGGTCTGGTTAGGGTTGAGAGAAGACCATAACATAATCACTTAGACTTGGTGGACACAACAACATGAAGATTTTGAGAACAAAGACTCGAAAATGCTCAAATTTAAATATTTCCTTTTGATGCTTTCTATTAACAAGTTGATGCATTTTGGGGGAAGTTCCTGGAATGAATGATCGTTATTTTTAACTGTTATCTTCTGAGGAAGGGTATTCTGGAACAGTAAAGTTTCGCTGATGAAGACTGTGGAATAGTAAGGTCATGTTAACATAGATTGTGTGGACATAAATAGTTTCAGATCTCAGCGTATCCCTTAAGGTCCTTGATTTTTTGCCTCTGCCCTTTTGCCCATTATTACCACATTCAGAAAAGCCAATAAAATACAAAAGAGATGAAAGAGGTGGCAGGAAGGAGGAGGGGCACAGGTGCTGCTGCCGGGCTCCATCCTGGCTTCACCACACTAAGTCTTGCATGACCTGGGCGAGCAACATACTTTCTCCAGACCTCAGCCCCTCCATTAATATATGGAGGTTAATAATCGTGTCTCCTTCATCAGGTTGTGGTAGAGTTTGAATGAAATAATATATGTCCAGTGCCCTAGACATACTATGGACTCGGTATAAATCAACTGGGTAAAACTAGGGAAAAATGCCATCCCAATGGTGCTTCTGTGCCTTTACTGGGTCAACGTGCCTTTACTGGGTTTAAAAGGAAGCAGAAGTATTCTATCTGCACCCCAGAAATATTGTGTAGGGAGAGGTGGCTAACTTTCCACAATCCTTCCATGCATATTCTTAACTGAGCATGCTCTTGGATCACCACTAAAATGCATGGGGGAATTTAGGCTGTAATTTAGTAGTGCCACTGCTTATAAAAGTAGAGGAACAATGAGAACACCATGGCACTAGCTTGGAATAGGTTGAAAACTACTTTTCTGAAGCTTATCCACTAGAATGTTTATCTAAGCTATTTTTCATGGGACGTTTTAAAGACAATACCTTCTTTTAATAGCCATGACCTTGAATTCATTACATTGTGGAATTCTACTGCTTACTCTCTCTTAATTCTGAAAACTGGCCATATTCTTCAAGTGGGAGACTCACTTGTACAGTGCCAGGTGCTGATCTAGGCACTTCATATGAATTTTCTCCTTTAGTCCTCAGTCTGTGAGGCAAATACTGTGATGAGAAGTCCGATACTCAGAGTCAAGTAATATAGTGAGGAGATCCTGACACATGAGTGGAGGCAGAATTTAAGCCTTGTCCAGTGGACTCCAAAGTTGATGATTCTACTCCAGCATGTTACCACCTACACATCTGTTTCTCAAAATGACAACAAACAGAAAAACCCAAAGATAACACATCAAACATCTAGTCATGGTTTTACAGAGCCTGGGTCCATGTGCAGTATTTGAACAGATAAACTGGTTTCTAGTATGTTGGCAAGGAAAGGGCAATCCTGCAAAGTGGATAAATCTAATCTGATCATAAGAGGACTGAAATAACCAGACACTAGCCTCAGGGAGCCACATTGCCAGTCCAGTTGTTTGTCAAATTTTAACCAGTGAATGAAGTAGATCCAATCCATTGGTTGACACTTAGCTGCTGTTGATGGGGTTGTGAGGAAGAAAAAGAAGTCCATCCCCTACTCTTGTACACCATCGTGTCCCCCCAGGGCAATCTGAGGGCTGTATAAATTTGGCAAAAGATGTTTACACAGCAAAGGTAATCAACAACACGGTTATGGGTTAGGGGAATTTCACTGAATAACCCTGTGGATGGGAGTGACATTGGAATTAATTGTTTCCTAGAAAAATGTCTTGAAGAGAAGGTTTCCTGGGATGGTCTCCTTGTTTTATGGTGATGGTTACCTTTTTATTATTTTTAGAGGTGATTAATTAAAAGAACAACTAACTGCAATTCAACTTCTAGGTTACTGTAAGTTTTTTGGGTTTTGTTTTTGTTCTTTAACATGAATCAGAGTTCTTTTTTCCATCTCAGCTCTGTACAAATGCCAACTGTGTGACTCTGTGCAAGTCCGCTAATCTCACTGGGGCTCAGTTTCTTCTCTGTAAAGAGGGATCCACCACGTGATCCCTGAGATTCCTTCTTGCTCTTAAGTCAAACAGATTCAGATGTTGTTAACTGACTAGTGCCCTCTACAGGCAACTTCCTCCACCATGTAAGAATCCAGGAAGAGGATATTAGCAAAATTCTCTTGATATATTTAATGTTGTGATTTAGTATGAAATATAATATTCTGTTATGTAATGAACCATGCTGTGAAGCAAATAAAAATATTAGATTTTACCTAGATCTAATTTTGCAGATAAAGCATTTAAGGACCACCGTGGCTGGGAATTTTTCCAATTCCTTTGGGATAAGGCTGGGGCTTGGTTACAGATCCTTGATATTCTGCTTAATAGTGTCCAGTCGTGACCTTTCTAGTCTTCCATGGTTTTCTTTAAAACTCTCTTTCCTTCACTTCTCAGATAACACTGGAACTCGGCATTTTCTAAATTTTCTACGTACTTATGAGCCTTAACAGTTGATGAACTGTGGATTTTTCCACTAGAGTGGGAAATGGCTGCTTAGAAGTTGCCTGGTAATTATGTGAGCACTTCCTGTAAGGGTTACTTTCTTGCGACCTTTCCTGCTGCTGATGGGAAGGTCCTTTGCTGACATTGCCAGTGGAAAATGTATGCATGCTCAATATCTGATTGATTCACTTTTAGTTCAAGGACTGAGAAAATTTTTAATCCTTCATGCGGAGATCTGCTCAGAAGTTGGGACACACTATTCATTTCTAAGGTGGAGAACATAGAAAAAAACGTCCTGGACAGCTTTCAGTAAAAATCTGGGTCTGCTTAAGCCTACTTTAAAATTTTCTAAAATGAGTTCATGTTTTAATTTTTATTATTTTAAAAGCAGCATTTGTGCCTTGTCGAAAGTTATACATTCAGATAAAGAAAAATAAGAAAACGATAGCACCATATTCCTACCACCCCTAGATTACCACTGTTAACACCTGTGTGTACATCCTTAAAGCTTGTTCTATGCGTGTATAAATATACATATACATATTTTTACCAAAATGAGATCATGTTGTACATGCTGTTTGTAACCTGCTTTTTTTAGTTAATGATCTCCATCTTTCCTTGCCAATAAATTTTCATCTTAGCTAAAACCCAGTCTGTATTCAAATTCCTCCTGCTCGTCCCCCAAAATGTCCTTTCCAGTTGGTTTGTCCAAACCAAACTCAAACCTAGGGCCCTGCATTGCATCTAGTATTGTATCCCGGAAAGCTCTTCAGTCCAGCATGGCTTCTTCCCTCCTTTTATTATTTTTCTCATGAAATTCCTTGCTGAAAAAAACAGGGAAGCTTTCTTTTGTTTTTCTTTTTTTCTTTCAGATTTTGTTCTTTACGTAAACCAGATTTTTTTTTTTAAATTGCCCAACTTTTTGCTGTATCTTCACCTGCAAGAGATGCTGCCTTAATGGTATAACAGATGGTCAACTGCTTAAATGTAAAGCTTCTCATCTAAAATGAAATCTGTAAACCTGCTCAAAAGCCTGGAAAACATCTCTATTTTTCTTTAAGTTTCCCCTCTGCCTGTCCCTCCAGCCAGGAACAAAGGAAAGTCAGTCAAAACTTACTTCCGGCCCTATGATAAGCTGTAGTGGTGAGCCAAACTGCCATGGTCCCTGTCCTCATGGAGCTTATAGTCTAGGGAGGAAATCTGATCTCCAGTTAATCATTAACATTAAATGCTTAATTCGGTGATGACAAAGACAAATGATGAAAAACAAAGGATAGGATACAGGGTGTCCAGGTGTGAGAGGTGGCTCCAGGGAGAAAGGGGCCTTGTTTGGTATATTACGGCAGCCTTCTCCAGAGAAATGGCATTGAAATTGGAATTGGTTAAGAAGAGAGGAAGGAGAAGGCTGTTTCAGGCAGTGGGACAAGCATTTGCCAAGGTGCTGAGGTTAAGGAGTA